AAAAAAAAAAAAAAAAAACAAAAACAAGAGGCTGGACTGAGGATGTGGCTCAGTGGTAGAGTATCTGCTTGGCATGCACAATTTCCAGCATAACAAAAAGGATGAAAGAGGCTGCTTCTCCCTCTTGATAGCTCCAATTCTCCTAGACTGTGCCTCTGCTTTCCTAAGTAAATATCTTCGTCTCTGACTGGCATGTGCTGCTCCTGAGTGAAGTTCTCCATTCTATCTGAGAATTCATCAGATCCCTCTTTGGAGATATTTCTTCTCCCATGATGTCTCTTGGTGGCCACTGAGGATCTACAAATCCTATTAAAAATAAATTAAACCCTATTTAAGCTAAGTTCACCTATTTACTACATACCAGGAAACTTGTTCCTTTCCATTCTTGTAGGAATTTTCTTTTGAGGGGATGGGAATTACTCCACTCCATCAGGACCCAGTTCCTTGACTAGGAATCTGCTTTCTCTTAGCCATGCTAATTCTTTCTTCCTCACCTTCTTATATTATGGCCCCTAGAGCTACTATAAAGATACTTGTATACCAAATATAATAATGTTAAAATTTAGTTATCTATCTTCACCTGGCTGTTACCACTATTAGGACCTCCGACTCTTATTATTTGACCCTTGCCTTTTAAAACTTGTTGTAAAATTCATATTTTTCAGATTACAACAATTTCATATTAAGAGTATGCCAATGCAAGAGTTCCAATACATCTACACAACTGAGTCCAGTGTCCCTCTATCTCCTTTAGATCACGTAGGATAAGACTTTAGATCCATGACTACATAGTGTCATTGCCCCTTGCCAGTCTGAAGCATCCGTAAAAGATGGATCTTCACTGCTCACCAACATTTAAAATGAAGGGATCAAATTCTGGGGGTGAGGGGGAAGAATGTAATCAGAAATTGAGCATGCAAAAAAAGGAAAAATTTACTGAATCTCAAAGGAAGCACTCATGAACCACTGAAATACTGAAAATGCCCGTGAACCATTGAGATGCAAAAAAAAAAAAAAAAAAAAACCACCCATGAACCATTAAGATGAAGAAAGGACCCACAAACTGTTGCAGCTTCTGAACTACCCAGTCCAAGACCTTGGTCCTTGCCCTTGATCCATGTCCTCACTTTTAAGTAACATGAGAGGGCAAAGCACAAGTGCAGGGAAAACTGGGGCAAAATTGCTTAACTCCACCCTGACTCCACCTCTAGTCCTGCCCCTAGCAACTATCCCTTTGTAAATATTTAACACTGTACACAAACAGGTTGCTGCTTCTCATTCTCCACAGCTCATGTTCTCTTTTGAATGTTCCTCTGCTTTCCTAAAAAAAAAAAAAAAAAAAAAAACAACAACAACAAAAAAAAAAACACTGCCTATGCCTCTGGGGGAAAATGATAGAAAAGATAACTCTACAGATTCTATAAATATTAAAAGGAGAACAAGGGAATATTATGAACAAATTTATGTAAATAAATTTGAGAACTTAGATGAAACAGGCTAATTTCTTGTAATATACAAACAACTATCAGAGTAACTAGACAAGAATAGATGATAAAAAGCATCCAAATTATAAAGTACAATTCTCTTACAAATAACTGCTTATACAAAGAAATCTGGCTGCAATCAACAAGGCAAATTTAGGAAAGTTGCAGACTAAGTCACTCATGTAAAAACTATTTTACCTCTGCACAACTAGTAACAAGCAGTTGAAATAAAATTTTAAACTACAATTTACAATATTATCTAAACTATTAGTACCTGTGGATAAATCAGACAAATGATATGCAAGACCTTTTTGCTGAAAACAATAAGCCATTGCTGACACAAACCAAAGAAAATCAACATAAAGAGGTTCATACTTTATTCATGGATCAGAAGACTCAATATTGTTCAAATGACAATTTTTCCCAACTTGTTCAGAGGTTCAATACATTCCCTTTCAAACTCCCAGCAGGATTTTTTATAGAAATTGACAAACAGACTTAGCACAGCGGTGCATGCCTGTAATCTCAGTCGCTTGGGAGGCTAAGGCAGGAGAATCATGAGTTCAAAGCCAGCCCCGGCAACTTAATGAGACCCTGATTTTAAGTAAAAAGGGCTGGGGATGGGCTTAGTGGTTGAAAATCCCTGGGTTCAATCCCTAGTACAAAAAAAGGAAAGAAATTGACAAGCTGTTTCTAAAATTCAGGTGGAAACACAAATCATCTAGAATAGGCAAAACACTTTTAATGGAACACATTTGGAGAGCTAACACCACCTTTTCTAATACTTATTATAAAGCTCCTTATTTTAATATTTATTACAAAACTATGGTTTTATAATGACAACAATGTGTTATTAGTGTAAAAACATATATTAATGGAACAGAATAGAGTCTAGAAATATACCAACAGAAATATAGAAAAGTGATCCTTTTTTTTTTTTGTGAAAGTACAAAGGTGATTCACTGAAAAAAAAAAAACTTGCCAATAAATGATGCTGCAACTATTGGCCATATGTATGCATATAAAAAAAAAACAACTCGGATTCATACCTTGCACCAAACACAAAATTAACTCAAAATGGATTATAAACTTAAATATAAAAAGTCAAACTATAAAAGTCTTTTAAGAATATTTAAGAGCAAAAATGTTATAACTTTGGGTTAGGCAATAATTCTTTAGATAATAACACCAAAAGGAAAAAAATCCATTAAAACAGATGTCTAAGGGCTGTGGCTATGGCTCAGGGGTAGAGTGCTCACCTGGCACATGTAAGTCACAGGGTTTGATCCTCAGCACCACATATAAATAAATAAAGATATGTGTCCATCTACAACTAAAAAAAAACCAGATTGCTAAGTTGAACTAAGTTGAACTTTAAAAAGAAAAACGTTTGCTCTTTGAAAGATACGACAATGATGGGATGGGAATGTGACTCAGTGGGAGAATTCTTGCCTGACACGCACGAGGTCTCAGATTCCATCGCCAGCAACACACACACACACACACACACACACACACAGTTAAAAAGGAAATAAAATAAAAAAGATAAAACAATGAAAAGACAAGTTATAGACTGGGAGAAAATATTTGCAAAGCATATATCTGATAAAAGACTTGTATTCAGAGTATATGTTACTCTAAACATCCAATAAGAAAACAAATCCAATCAACGTAAAATGGACAAAAGATTTAAAGAGGTGCTTCCCCAAAGAAGATATACAGATGACCTAAAGGCATATGAAAAGAAATTCAACATGAATGGTCATTAGGTAAATGCACATTAAGGCCACAATTTAACACTACTGCATACCAACTAGAATGACTTACATTAATAAAGAATGTCGACAACAAATGTTGAGTTTATCGATAAACTGGAACTCTCTTACATTATCAGTGGGAATGTAAATGATAGAAAATATGCTTTTTAAAAAATGATATTTACGTAACTACTTAAGATCTACAGTTTCTTTAAGGGAAACACGTGAGTTTTCACTTCCGCTTCCGCTTCCGGTAGACGCTTCTTGTGGTGCATTCTGTGCTAAGCAGTCGCCATGGAGCTGTTTGGAAATTGCGTTGGCCCTGACGGGAAACAAAAACAGTTGCGGGTATTCTGTGATGCCTTAGATGACAACGACCCCATTCAAAACCTGTTGTCTGATGTGGCCCAGATGAAACAGGCAGTAACCGAATTCTTGGACCCCCTAATTCAGCAGGAAGTTCAGGACCCGATGTCGGAGGCTCCGGAAGAAATGTTGGAGGAGGTGTTGGACGAGGCATTGGACGAAGCATTGGATGAGGCGTTGGACTACATGGTAGACGAGATGGTGGATGAGTCTTTGGACGGTGAGCTCAGAAATTGGAGGATGAGGTGGGACACAGAGGGAATGTAGATTTGGGGAGCCCATGTAGTAGTCCAACGGCAGAAAGTGAGACTTGGGGACAGAAGAATAGCATTTTTAAATGTGGTTACTGCCCGGCATGGTGGCGCGTACCTGCAGTCCCTGCAACTCTGCAGGTTGAGGCAGGACAAATTTAAAGCCAATCTCAGCAATTTAGTGAGACCCTGTCCCTAAGTAAAAGGGCTGGGGATGTGACTCAGTGGTTGAACACAACTGGGTTCAATTCCAGGTATCAAAAAAGAAAAAAAGCCAGCCTTAGTCTCAGCAATTTAGCAAGGCTGTAAGCAATTTAGTGGAGAACCTGTCTCAAAAAAAAAAAAAAA